GAGGAGAGCAGGTCACGACGGACCCATCCTTGACGTTCATCGTCGTCGACAACAGCAGGGAAAATTCACGAAATATTCTGAATAAACTCTGCGAGTCACGTCCATCACCAGTTCACGCCGAAAATCACACACAAATCTGTACGTAGTTCTCAACTTTTCTCTTGCATGATTGAAATATCTTCCCTAGGCCTGTCCACAGCATACCATCTACGAGCACAGTCTTCGTATCAGTGGCGCATAACGTAGACCTGGTGTATGGATGATTGCACAGCTGCTCGTCCAAAGTTCCAAACACCGACATGCATAAAAGAAAATGGCGCCCGGCTATTTTGATCCTTTATGCACCAATGCTAATGGCTTTAGTTATACAGTTCTCATGTCCTGTTCACTGCCCCTTATGAAGATTTTCGTTGTACGCGCGTTGTTCGATCACTTTTTATCCGATGTGATGAAGGCTGCGGCGCCTTACAACATCACAAAAACAAGCAGAACCTTGTATACCCTTACACATTTCATCATTCTCTAAAAGGATTAGTACTTCAGATAATGTAATATAATACATAATAAGATACAATAAGACTCACAAAGACATTCTATTATGGTATTAGTATTATATAGGAAATACAATGTTAATTAATTATTATACTAAATTATAAGGTCTTACAAGAGTTAAATATGTATTACATAAATATTATATGAGTCAGTAAGTACTATAATTGTCTTAAAAGTACATTATATAGAGAGGTAATACTTTTGTCTAATATTATTTAACTCAAGTCTTATATCTGTCTAGTAAGGTTTTATAAGAGTCAAATATGTATTACAAAAATATTATACAAGTAAGTAAGTAGTATAATTGTCTTAAAGTACATTATATAGAGAGGTAATACTTTTGTCTATATTAGATACCTTAAAATGTATAAACTCTAAAGTTCTTAAATTGAGCTTGTAATAACACAATCCAATGAGTAGTAAGGTAAAAACATCTTTATTGTGTACATATCTAGAGCAACATACAAGCAGCCAGTAGATGACCGTGGGAGACACAGAAAATATTTAGCAGAAACAATAACAAAATATGCCCAAGGATACAGTGGGCGACGGCGTTGATCGTTAGACGTTGGTTGACAGATAAACGATGCCGGATGGTTGTATATCATGAATCCAATAAACAACAGGATAAGACAGGGGAAAAAAGTCAAACTTAGACAACAATACAGAAACAAAAGAAGCATGAAGATGAGAGAAGAAGTCGCAGAAGCACAAACTAAAGCACTTTCGGGTCGAGGTGGGCATCGGGGTACATTTCCTTGATGAGCTTCCAGAGCCAAAAGAAGGGCGTAGCGTAGGTAACATCGGATGATTCCGTCTTACCAGTACCACCGGTGAGGAGGCCACCGAAGCGTCCACGACCGTCGACAATAATCGATCCAGAGTCTCCGCCCTTGGAGAAGACTCCAGTCTCATCGCCGTAGGGCATAATCGTCAATTCCATGGACGTTCGTTGGGTTCCGTTGGAGAAGTACTCCCTGACAATGGAGAAGATACCATTAGCCAAGCCAATGGTGGGACCAGTGGTCAAGCCGTTCTTGGCGACGGGGAGGCAAGGTTCGCCGTTGATGTTGAGCACGTCGGGGTTGCGCAGGAGCTTTTCCGGGATGATGCCCTGAAGCTTAAGGAGGCCATCACTTGGGTATTTGAACCCTGGTTTGGCGTCAATGCGAGGGAACATCTTACGGTTAAACGTGGTGGAGTCAATGGTTAGCCCTAGGTAGATATAAACGATTAGGATACACAACTTTAGTGAGATGGATCAGAACCCACCCAAGTCCAAGACGTTCATATGCCCATCATTATTCTTGAACCTGTCCTTGTCGATCTTGATGATTGCGAAGTCACTGGTGAAACCGAGCGGATCGGTATTCACAGTGATGGGAGGCGAGCGGACGACGTATGCAATGACGCGCTGGCTTGGTTTGGCCCAGTCCCTCGTCGTCGTCTGGAAGAGCTCTTCAAGCTTGTTGAGTGCCCTTTCCGACTTCCTTATTAGATGTCTATATTCTTCCACGTCCGCCCAAATATCACTAGCCTTGTCAGCAGGAGTATTGGGGTCAGCCGCCCTCCTACTCAAGGTCTGAATTCGGTCGTTATACAGTTCTATGTCGTTGCCATGGCGTGCACTCGCGCACCTGACGGACACGACGTAGTCCTCCCACGCGTTGATCCCCATGAGGAGGACATTTTTAACACGCATGCCGCGATGGTTAAATTCGTAGTTACTGTTGTCCTCAGTCGGTGGCGGGAAGAGGACATGGCGGGCTGTAACGGCTAATATGTCCTTGCTCTCGCCGCCTTCGGCGAAGTAGAAACCAAGAGTGCCTTGTATATGAGGCGTTCTCGCATTAGCAATGGGAAGTCCGAGTGAAGTAGTGAGAGGATCAATGACCTCCTTGGTTGGGTCGACCTTCTCGACCGGTGCGTAGAGCTCTGCGCCGCTCGAGCGTCTGTACACGGATTCACGGTACTCCACGTCGACGTCATCAATGTCGTGGCTCTTAAGAAGGTCGAGTAAGCTGTTTGCCGTGTTGAAGGCGTCCTCTCCCAGGAGACTGTCCGGAAGAACGCCGATCCACAGGACGACGGGACTGATAATAGCAGTCTCCTTGACTGAGCGGAAACGAACGACATCGATTGAAGTGAAGCGGACCTGATACTTGTCCAGCAACTCAACAATCTGAAGACCTATGATGCTCCAGTCATTGTTCAACTTGTGGCCATAGACAGGACAAAGCCGCTTCAAGTCGCGATACGCCTCAGGCCCGGTAGGCTTGATCCATGGCGTCTTGGACGTACGAAAGACCAGCCTGGGAGGGGAAGGGGATATGCCAGAATAATAATACATGGCCTCAGCTGCGGAGACAGCGTATGGAGGGGTGCCAGAGGAAATGCTGGACTCATCCGCATCAATGGGGTCAGAATCAAATTCGGTAGGGGAGATGGCGCAGCGTTCGAAGCGCTGCTTGGCAAAAGAGATGCAATCAGCAAGGAATGATTCAGAGACCACTGGTAGAGTATAAGAGGGTCAGAATAAGAAGTAATTGTTGGATAGTAAAAACTAACGAACTTGCTTAATATACTGTATCGAACTGCAGAGGTGCAACCTGGGATCTGCGTGATGTGAACGAAACGACAAGTTGTGGGGTTCGGCACAAACCACACCCTGTGACTGTGACACATCTTAAAAGTCCGATGATTAGTCATTATTGAAAGGTTTAAATAAAGTATTAACTTATTAGTTATAATAATACTAATAATACAAAAGTATATAGTAATGAGTAACAGGACAAAGAAGGGATGAGTTCTACTACTATATTATTATAATTTTAGTAAGGTCAGCTTGAATACTAAATTAATCCTTAAGCTTGTCGTACAAACTAGTCACATAATCATATTAAAATACAACACTCCAGAGATCAGACACACAGCAATTCACTACAAATTGATAAAGAGATACTACAGTGTACAGGCTTTAATGTAATGCATATAACAGTACAAATACCAATGCGACCCAAACCGATGGAAAAGGAAAGCAGGCACCATATAGAACACAACAACACAAGTCCAGGCTAGTAATTCACTAGGGAATCCGGAACAGAACAATGCATATTTGGGACACGATTGAAATACTGTACGAAAGTCCTGATATAGAAAGATATCAGGGTTTTGAAGTCAAGCAGTGTGCCATGGTGCGGAAAATTTGGCCAAGTACTAAGGAGACGAAAGAGAGCCTGCATATTTCCCTCTGACACTTCCTGGTCCCAATACTCTTCAATGCGACCTGACAGATCAACAATAATGCCAGCATATTTGCTAGCAGCTGGAGAACCATCCCGGTGGAAGATACAACTGATCATCTTGTCTCGATTTTGTTGTTCTTCGTCACTCATAGAGTCCCGTGGATGGATTAGGAAGTCCAATGCCCTGACCTCGGCCCTCATACTGTTTTCTGTTATTTCGTATTGTACTTCCTCCCGGATGGATTTCTGCTTAATGATATCGTCTTTTGACACAAACCTATTGCGCCACCAGTACCGTGCATCCAGATCGAGCGAGCCCATATCATACTCTGCAACCATCATCGATTTGGCTGTTGCAGTGCCCACAAGTCGGCGTCGCTTCGACGGAGGCAAGTCACGTGGGTTGTAGCGATGCGACGTCTTCTTCTTTCTTTTTGGCCCGGTCGATGCTTGCAATGGCAGGGCACTGTAGATGCCCTCAACAAATTGCGAAGCACTCCCAGACGGCAGTGGTGTAGACTGGTGATATTCGCCGCGCAAGTAGACTTTCCACTCCTGAGCTTTGAGCCAATTACGTTTGTCGAGTGTTCCAGGCTCTTCTTGCCTTTTTATCAGGGCATCCCGTATGCGAATATAGTTCAAGTACAGTCTTGCTGAGTAGTCGCTATCACGATGGACCAAGAGGTATGGAGGAGGGTACGGGTATCGAGCCGGCAATGAATAGTCCGGTTCAATGGGCACAATGCTCTTCAAGCATTCGAGAACCACTGGATGATGTTTGGGAAGATCAGGTTCCTTATTGATTGTGACTGGAATGTGTAGCAGACGCGCATAGTTTGGGTAGGGCTCATTCTTGGGTTCATTTTTGGTCGGCTTCCGCTTGGTCTTTGATGTTGCTCCGCAGTTGATATCTGACTTTGTACCTGATAATACACGTGAAACGGCTTTTGGTGTGTGCTGTTGAGGAGAACGGGCCTGCGAAGAACCTGACACTGAATGAGACGAAGCTGGGGATTCTAGAGCTTGGATATTCAGAACAGAAAACTCGGGAGTAAAGTTTTCGAAAGCATGGATTTCATCGAGTAGCAGTTCGATGGCTTGTTCCGACATGAAATGACTCGACAGATGATTTCGCAAGGATCCACTGCGGTTGCAATCGAACCCCCGCAAAACCGCCTTCCCTTCATAGGTTACGTAGTCCTTGCTGAGATACCGCGACCACGGAACACAGTCCTGGACATCAAGCACCCGACCTAGAAAAGCCCTTGCATCACAAATAAACCAGACGGGTATATCAAGTTCTTGTAACTTCTCGGCAATCTTGAAGTCCATGGTGAATGCGCCACGCGTACGATAGACTTGTTTTTTTGTGATTTGCTTGCGAAGGACGATGTCGCGAAGGTACGTGTTTAGTCCGTGTAACTCCATGATTCCGCACTGTATGTCACGAACGGATGATAACACGGCTCGCCAACTGAGTTTAAGAGAACGAAGTCGATTTAGGACTGTCGTACATGTACGAGCGCAACGCTTGTAAACCAAGTAGGCTTCTCCATCTTGCCCTCTGTCCCGAAGTGTCCTTCCGACGTCCTCGCACTTGCTTGCAATAGCAAAGAAAGCCTGTTGAAGCGTATCTATCAGTTCCGAGCGTAAAGAGCCAATTGGCGTCCCGGAATCTGAGTCATAGGCTTGGGGGTCGGGAACAAAGTCAGTCTTGTCGTCTGGGTCGTAAATTTTTATGTTATTGATATCGTCTCGTTTGCGAAGGGCTGTGTTACAAATGTGCCAGTCCAAGTCAAAGGGTATGAAGCAATGATGAATGTATTTTCGCGAAAAGGGCTGAGGCCAGCGATGGGGTGATTGTCCGCCAAAATGGCCATCTTCACGGACCACGACTTTCCCATCGTCGATGAATGGAAATTGCGGGACATAATCTGCATTCGGTGAGATTATGATGCAATTGCCGAACTGCATTACGGCACCAACACGCGCATCCAGAGGCC